TCAAAAATGATTTAGCCTAATCAGTTAGGTCAAAAGACCAACCAACTTACACAAAAATTAATTAATTAAAACTTTTAAAATTTAAATTGTCTTAAATTGAAACATGCACAACACTACAATATTATGGGAGTATAAGATTCACTTTTATATAAGTGAAACAACTCACTTTTTCTTTCTTTTACCGATGTGGGATTATAAAATAAATCATATCATAGGCTAATTAGATTTTTTATTTTAAAATTTAAACTGTCTTGAACTGAACTATGCACAACACTACAATATTAAATGAGAGTATAAGATTTAGTTTATATAAGTGAAACAACTCACTTTTGCTTTTTCTTCTTCTCCCGATGTGAGATTATAAAATAAATCATAAACTAATTAGAGTTTTATTTTTATATGGTTAAATGAAAGTTAGCCAATTGAAATTTTTTTAATTTTTTAAAATTAATAAAATCAATATGAGAAATTGCGATTAAACCGGCAAATCAGTCAAACCCAAAATGGTTCAGCCTAATCGGTTAGGTCAAATGACCAACCAACTTATACAAAAAATAATTAATTAAAACTTTTAAATGTTATTTTAATTTTATTAAAATTTAAATTGTTTTGAGTTGAAGTATACACAATACTACACTATTAAGATTTCACTTTATATAAGTGAAACAACTCATTTTTTTTTTCTGATGTGAGATTATAAAATAAAAATTAATAATTATTTGGACGGAAAGTTTATTTTTAATCAAGCAATCTCAGCTTTTCAATATGTAATCATATCAATCTTTAGTTTATTTCGAACCAAACAAATCTAATCAATATATTTTAATAAAATCGCTAAAATTGCGATTAAACCAACAAATCAATCAAATCAAAAATGATTTAACCTAATCGGCTAGGTCACTTTTAAAATTTAAACTATATTGAATTGAAACATGTACAACACTACAATATTAAATAGGATGTGAGCATAAAATTCACTTTATATGAATAAAATAACTCATTTTTTTCCTTCTTGCTAATGGAGATTTTCTTAATTGTTTAAAATTAACAAAATCAAGAAAATTAGTATGAGATATTGAGGCTCCGTTTGGTAAGCATCTTAAAGTATAGTTCTACCCATTGATTTGAGTGTGTTGTTTGTTTGGAGTTTTCAAATAATAATTTTACACCAATTTCTCAAAACTCAATTAAAAACATAATCATTAGACCATCTCCAACGGTTCACCAAACTTGGCATCAAATTTGAAATTTGGTGAAAAAGACACTTTTTGAAACTCCAACGGTTTCACCAAACTGATATCAAATTGAGAATTGAATAAAAAAATCATCAAACTGAGAACAGGATACAGATTTCAACAAATTACTGTTTGTGACCGTTGGAGGAGAGGAACTGGTCAACCAGCCAGTTGCCCGGCCGGTTGACCAATCGGTCGACCACTTAATGGTTCAAACAGTTCTATGATTTAAATTTTTTGAATATTTATTTTAATTTTTTACTTATTAAATTTTTTAGATTATTTAAATATTTATGATTTAAATTTTTTGAATATTTATTTTAATTTTTTACTTATTAAATTTTTTAGATTATTTAAATATTTATGATTTAAATTTTTTGAATATTTATTTTAATTTTTTACTTATTAAATTTTTTAGATTATTTAAATATTTATGATTTAAATTTTTTGAATATTTATTTTAATTTTTTACTTATTAAATTTTTTAGATTATTTAAATATTTATGATTTAAATTTTTTGAATATTTATTTTAATTTTTTACTTATTAAATTTTTTAGATTATTTAAATATTTATGATTTAAATTTTTTGAATATTTATTTTAATTTTTTACTTATTAAATTTTTTAGATTATTTAAATATTTATGATTTAAATTTTTTGAATATTTATTTTAATTTTTTACTTATTAAATTTTTTAGATTATTTAAATATTTATGATTTAAATTTTTTGAATATTTATTTTAATTTTTTACTTATTAAATTTTTTAGATTATTTAAATATTTATGATTTAAATTTTTTGAATATTTATTTTAATTTTTTACTTATTAAATTTTTTAGATTATTTAAATATTTATGATTTAAATTTTTTGAATATTTATTTTAATTTTTTACTTATTAAATTTTTTAGATTATTTAAATATTTATGATTTAAATTTTTTGAATATTTATTTTAATTTTTTACTTATTAAATTTTTTAGATTATTTAAATTATTTAAATATTTATGATTTAAAATTTTTGAATATTTATTTTGGAAAAAATTATTTCCTTTGTAGTATTTTCAATTAAAAAATTGATTAATGTTATTTTCTGTTAATAATAATTTTTTTAATCGAATTTTAAAAAGCGTTTGGTTATGAGCGTTGATCAGAATTTTTAATGGTGTGAAAGTAGTGTGTTTGGTTATGAGTTATATAATTTGAATTAAGTTTTGAAAACTCTTTCTAAAACTCATAATCAAATAAATTTTCTTACTTCACATGTCAAATCAAACTTTCAAAATTCAATTCCACACTCAATTCAAAACTCAATTTAACACTCTATTTAAAAATTATAACCAAACAAATTTTCTATACTCAAATCATAATTACACAACTCACAAACTCAAAATACAACTCATACTCTCAAATTATATTTACAAAACTCTACCAAACGCAACCTTAATTTTGTTAGTAAAATTTTAACATTTTAATCCTAACCACGTTTTCTGAAGAATTTTTTTTTTTTTTACTTAAAAACATAAATTTACTTAAAAGCGTAGTTTGTTTCCACGTTCTCTTAATTAAAAATGTGGTTTAATTACGTTTTTACGGTTTTATAAATTTTTAAAATTCCATCCGAACTATGCCTAATTTGAAAAATAACTTGGTATTTTAGCTTATTTTGGGAAAAGCCCTCACTTTGGGAAAAGCCCTCACTTTCTGCTTCCCAACTCATTTTCCCTATCTAAAAAAAACAAACCCTTTGTTCCTCTGTCTCTCTAAACTAATGGGTAATCACTTTTCTTTGTAATTGTCTCGTAAAATTTGTTATTGTGTATCAATGTCTAATTTTAGTTGGTGAGTTGTCTTGTAAGTTCTGATAAGAAGATCAAGATCGGTATCAATGGTAGTGTTTCTCTCTTGCTTTAAGTTTTTTTTTTTTTTTTTTTTGGAGTGGAAAGTTGTTGAATTAATTGATCTATGTTGAAATATATTTAGGGTTCGGAAGAATTGGTCGTCTGGTAGCCAGAGTTGCTCTGCAGAGAAACGATGTTGAACTGGTTGCTGTTAATGATCCCTTCATCACCACTGATTACATGGTATGTGTGTTTGTATATGCATGCTTATACATATGCTTTTACTCTGTTTGAATGGGGTGATTTGGTGAGAAATAATAAGAAATTATGAGAAATGGAATTCTTTTCTCATGTTTGGTTTGTAAGTTGGGTGAGAAATGAGGAGAAAGGAAGGTTTATGATGTGTTTGGTTAGAAGAATTTAGCAGGGATTTGGAAATAATAAAAAAAAAAAGAGAGAGTGAAATATGAATAAAATATACTTATTTTTTTACGTAATTTCATACATCTTTTTCCTTTTTAAATCCAATGTCAAATCTTTCAATCAAACATAGCATTAGTGATGGGTGTGGTTTTGTTTTTAATTTTTTTTTTTTTATGACTTTTATATTCGTTACAAAATGATATACAGAGAAGAGAAGTAGAGGGGTGATGTAACCTAAATAAGTTGATGTGTAAAGAAATAGAGATGATGTGGCCTAAATAAGTTAGTAAAACCCCGTTTGGCATGCCCATTTGGGCTAAAATAGCCATATAAGACAAAATAGATTATTTTAGCCAAATAGGATAAAATGTAACATTCAACCCATAATTATTTTATTTTTTCACTCACAAAAGTCAAAAAAGTCAAAAAGCCTATTCCAAATGAGGCTTTTTAACTCCAGGTTAAAATAGTCAAAAAGTCAACCCGCATCCCAAATGAACCCTAAGTTGATTTTTTTTTATATATATTTTGCAAAAAAGAAATCTCACTCGTGTCCCTTTCACATGCTTTGCATTCTTGCCTATCCAAGCATGATTGTTTTGCTTTCTTACCTATCATGTTTGGTGAGAAAACACAAATAATTTCTTTTCTTACTTACATGAGAGATCACAATATTTTTCTTTTCTTTTCTTACCATACTATCTACTTTTTGATCTTTATGGTAATGGCTAGGTAAGATAAAAATATTTGGAGAAAATACCATTGTTGTGGGTTTTTAGGAATCAAAATTGCGTGACAAAGTGTTCATATCAAATGACTTGTCTGCGTTATATATAGTATAGATATATAGATATTAGAAGGTTTTGCACACTCTTGATGGCTTTAGCACACTCTTGATGGCTTTACTATAAAAATGGTTTAATTTTTTTACTTTTTATTGATCTTTTAATTGTCCCTCTAACCCCCTTAACTCCGAGTCAAGTTGTTATTGGCCTAGTCATATAGGTATAACTTTGTTTTGAAAAGTGCAGTGTGTTAAGTGTGATTTTAACTTGACTCAAAGTCTTGGGTTATTTGCAACAATTAAAAGGTTTGTGACAAAGTGGGATTTGACGTAAAATATAAGGGTGCAAAATATAACTTATCCAAAAAAAAAATAGATGAATTAAAACAATTTCAATTTAAATAAAAAAGGGACGTAGTTGCTGGGAAATTTGATAATAAAAAAGTTGTCACTGGTTTGTAGATTTTATATAATAGAATAGACTAGATGATGTGTATATCTAATGAGTGAGCTATGAAAATCAATCAATTCATATTTTACTTACTAACCCAAAAAATTATTGTAGACAAAGAGAAAGAAAGTTGAAGAAGTTATAAAAATTTGAAATTTAAATAAAAAGTGAAGCAATTGTAGGGTAATTTGACAATGAAAAATCTGTGACAAAGCTTCATTGATTTGTAGGCTTTATGTAATAGAATATATGTATGACTGCTAAGTGCGATTTTGTTATTGTGATATGTGCAGACATACATGTTCAAGTATGACAGTGTTCATGGCCACTGGAAGCATTCTGATGTTAAGGTTAAGGATTCAAAGACCCTTCTTTTCGGGGAGAAACCGGTCACTGTTTTCGGCATCAGGTATTTATGCCATTTCTAGCACCACTTAACTTTCCTGCATTTGAATCATAATGAAATCAGAGTCATTCTCGGCATATTTTGCATGAATTTTCAGGAACCCTGAAGAAATCCCCTGGAGGGAAACCGGTGCCGAGTTTGTTGTGGAGTCCACTGGAGTGTTCACTGACAAGGAAAAGGCTGCTACCCACTTGAAGGTTCAATTTTGATTGCCTTTTTTGTTTATTGATTTTTATGCATCAGTTGGATTGTATGATTCTTTTGATTTTGTTCGCTGTATACGATGATCTGTGACTAAAGTTTGATTGGTGTATATGTAATAAAAAAATACATGAAAATGCTCTTCAATGATTGTTAATCAGATCAACTTATTTGTGTTTTTTACCAAACTTGAGTTATAACAAAATTTATCACTACAACAAAACTGACTTTTTACGGCACCACATCAACGGCATATAATAAATGCACGCCGTAGTTTCTCACTTTTACGACTTGCTTTTTTTGCATGTCGTAAATACTTTTCTAATTACGGCGTGTCTGTTGCGTAGGCCGTGAATGGTAATAACGATGATTTTTTTACGGCTTGCAATGCACGCCGTAAATAATAAAACTTTCTACGACATGCATATAGCGTGCCGTTAATACATTAATTATACACGACGAACATATGCTAGCCGTGAAAAGTGAATACTTTTCACGGCACACACCACGCCTACCGTTAAAAGTATTATATTTTTTACGACGCACAATGCATGTCATGAATTGTATGATAAAAATAAATAAATAATAAATCAATAAAAGAAGCGCTGAAATGAAATTTTGGGCGCCAATATTTTTCCCCAAAATAACTATTTTGATGAAATCTCTCTGTTTCTGAAGATGATGAAGGCCAAATCAATTGCTAAGGTGATCATCTCATCTCTTCTCTTCTCTTCTCTTCTCTTCGGTTGCTAGGGTTACTGAACCAATCGACTACTAGGTTTGCTTCTTCTTCCCTCCCTCCCCCCCCCTCTCTCTCTCTCTCTTCTGAATCTTTGTGTAAAAATTAATACATATAGAAAGAGAGAGAACAAATTATGTATACAGAGAATTGTATAAAGAGAATTATTATTATTGATTGATGTATTGTTACAAGATTGTTGTGTATATATTTGTATGTTACAAGCTATTAAATAGGAGAGTTGTGAGGAGAGGTGTGAGGTAAGTGAGTGGTGGTAGTGGATGGTAGTGGAGGTGGGGGGTGGTAGTGGAGATGGTAAGTGAGTTAGGATTAGTGGAGTGAATGTAG